AGAAACACTAAAAAGGAAAGCAAACAGGCAGAAATGAGGGAAAAGTGAGCTGTACAATTCAGCTTTCCATATACAGAAGAAAATATAAGTAAGATACAGAAGCAAAGCTGGACTTTGTAACAGAGGAAATTTCTTAATTTCTTATTAGCATAGATTAGGTTTCCAATGCAAATCCCAATGCAAAACTTTCTAACAGATCTACTGGTGACCAATATGTATTTATATATCTGCCACTCTATTTTGCTGCTCCTTTCTGAACTATTTGTGAAATTCTCTGTATTACAAGGTAGGGCCAGCTTTCCCATACAGAATCTGAAAATGACAGAAGTTTGCTTTCTCTCTCTCCCTTGCAGCTTAGGCATGTACACATGACCTACGTCCACTAAGGATAAGCACCTAAAGTTCTGGCTACTTTTCAGAGGCAGCTATACCTACTGCTGGTAAGATCAGCAATGTAATGTCAGCTAGTGTCCAGTATTAGGGAAGTGGTATCACTTCTAAGCCAGTCCTGTACCACAATTTTGGACATTATTCCTGGCTGTATAACCTTCAAGCCTGGTTTTTCAGTTCTCACAAAAACTTAGTAACCTACCCTACCTATCCTTTTAATAAAGTCCTTCTTTCGCTATTGAATAGCCAGGGTCGATTTTTATTTCTTTCAGTAGTAACTTTCATTAATAGAAAGGAAAATGCATTTTGAGTTTATTTTTGTGCATGGTGTGAGAAAATGATCTAGTTTCATTCTTCTGCATGTTGCTGTCCAGTTCTCCCAACACCGTCTGTTAAAAAGGCCATCTTTTTTCCATTGGATATTCTTTCCTGCTTTGTCAAGGATTAGTTGGCTGTATACTTTTGGGTCCACTTCTGAGTTCTCAATTCTGTTCCATTGGTCTATGTGTCTTTTATACTTATCTTCTATGTTCTTTCTCTTTTCTAATAGCACCAGCTAGTACCTCTGATAAAATATTACGTGATGGTATAACAGTGGCCATCCAAATCTTGATTTGCCTAAAAGGCAAATGTTAGTATCTCCCAATTAGACATGATGCAGGCTTTCAGCTAAAATAATATACTTTATCATATAAGCTAGGGTCTGACTATTCTTATATTTTCATAAAAAAGTCATGAATGTAAATTGTATTTTGTCAAAAATCTTTTTATTATTTATGAATAGGGGCATGATTTTATGTCTTAGCTCTAAGCCTTATTCATACGATTGGTTACATAATAGTTTGCTCCAGTTCCCTCTTGTCTGGTATCAATACCATGACTGCTACTTTCATTTGGAGGAATTGCTCACTGAATATCTTTTTCATCCTTTTAACTTTCCCAAATAATCTTGCTTTAGGTGTGACTCTATAAAGTATAGAGAATTCAGAGGTTTTGTGGTGATCCAATCTAAAATTCTTTTTCTTTGAATAGGTCAGTTTAACCCATTTACATTTACTGATAGGACCCATTTTCATCCACCATTTTATGTTATCTTTCCTATATCTTTAGTTTAGTTTTGTTTTGCTTTTAAGTAGTTGACTACATGGTCCTTTTGACTTCTTCCTAAGTATTAGTTCTTACATTTAGGAACTTCTATGTTTTTGTTTTAGTAGCTAACTTTGTAATTACATTATAGAATACCTTTTATTCTCTATTTTCAACACTATTTATTAATCTCCTATCATAAGTAATGGTAAAATTAGTATATTTCTTTATTCCTCCCCTCCCTGTTTTTCCTTATAATTTTTTTAATTAAAAAGAGAGATGTATTGGTAATACTAACAGCAAATACAGAGGTGGACATAGAGTTAGTACACAGCTTTAATATGTTCTTTTGAAAAGATAGAAATCAAACCATGTCATAATTCAGTTGACGTGAAGGTGGAAAATGCCACTTCACTTTTCTTTTAAATATCAGCTTTATTAAGGTATAATTCACATGCAGTAATAAAACTCACTCTTTTTGGTCTTTTCGGTGTATAGTTCTACATGATTTGATAAATACAGTCACCACCACAATCAAGATATAGATAGAATCTATCATCACAAACCTCACCAGTAAATTTTAATCAATAGTATTATTTTAATATTAATTTTGTCGTACTAAATGTGTTTATAATTCTATTACTTGATTTGAAATGAGATTCAATGAATTCCTGCTATTAAAGATAAAGCAACTCAAGTACACACTCCCTCTCACCTGCCTTCTGCATTCCCTTTCAAATTTTTGTAAGATGCAGTATTTGACATTGTTAGGGAGCAAAATATTTACGCTCTATGTAGTTATCCTAAAACCTACATTTTTGTCCTAATTCTAATTGTAAAAATATGATTGGTCACAGCAAATCACTTTCTTTTTTCTCCTAAGTTGTTATTTAAATTCCAGCTAGTTAACATACAATGCAGTATTAGTTTCAGGCACAGACATCACTTATATACAACACCTGGTGCTCATCACAAGTGCCCTCCTTAATACTCATCACCTATTTAATGTATCCTCCTTCCCTCTAATAAATCATTTTCTTAAGTTTTTCTCTTTATCTATAAGTTGGTTGAATGTAAAACACTACAATTCCTGACACACAACTTGGGCTTAGTAAATCTTAGCTAAAAACAGAAGTAGTCTTTAGTAAACCCATTTTCATCAACTTTATACAACTGTTTTTATTAGTAGTAAAAGCAGTAAGTGAATACCTACAAAATACTGCAGAGTTTGCTTGGCAATGGCAATAACAGGGAGAACAGATATTCATTACTGGCTGACTGTGTCTTATACTCCATACCGTTATATACATATAACATTATATACATATAATGGTATGGAGTATAATATATATAAATATGTATTTATATACATATGTAAACTGAACCAAATATATATATATATAAACTGAACCAAAAGTCATGTAAAAATAAACTTGTGGTCTCTTTATGCTTATATTAATTTTCAATATGTTCCCTCTCTCATAATTCAATAGTTCTTTCCAAAGTCTTTGCACTAGTAATTGCTTAGAAAGGTTTACTGAACATAAAGAAAACTTTGCAAAAGGAAAACGAGCATGTACATGATTGGTTATATTCATCAAGGCACACTCAAAACACAAAGTAAGCTAAATAGGCTATTTCATGTTACTCATTTCTGATTTTTGCTTCTTTTCTTTTTATTCTGCTAACAAGCAATATTCACTAGCACTAGTCCAGGCAGTTAAATGCTGACCTCTCTTCAATATGCCTCCAGATTACCACAATGTTAATATTAGCTATATAAAAACAAGAAAAGAACTAGAGTTATGAGCCTCCACTTCATCCTTGATGATGGGAAATACTCTGCTATTGTTTCCTCAACTAGAACCTCATTATTTTCATGGTATAAGTTTTTAACGAATTTCATCAAGAGGTCAATTTAAATGTATTAAATTGCTGTCAGTCCTTCAGTACGTTCAATGGATGTCATTCAGGGAGGTATGGAAACAGAATCTTTCCTAGAACTCCAAAGCAAGAATCAGATTTAATAAAGTTCATTTTAATAGGGAAACAAAAAGGGATGCTGAAAAGAACATGAATACTTGAATTGGCAGATCATGATTTAAAAAAAACAACAGTCAAGGGTTAACCATGTAATGTGTATCCTCTAGGACACCTTTGGCTATTGTGAGGATTACACATATAATAATATATAAAAAAAGTATAGTATTTGGCAGCTAGTAGACAATCCACAAATGGTAGATAACATTACTTTCAGTCATTATGTATAATAGTCATTTTTTTAAAAAGCCACTGAAATTATAGAAAGATATAGCTAATTTTTGTAGGGTAGAGTAGTCTAAAAATTCTAGCCAGATTCATGGCAGAGATCAGGAACACATCTTGAAATGCTTGCAGAAAATATAGTAATAAAATAAGAACATTTTGAAAAAGAAACACAATCCATTTAAAAGCTATTACAAAAGAATTCTATTGTGCTGGAGAATTTTCTGTGCTCTATGTTTTGGTCTCACTGATTTTTACTGTATCATAATTGCCAAAGTGATTTCATAGAATATGGATGGGCAGGAGGCATGAGTATGATTAAGTGCTTTATGTCACTACTTCAAAATGTCTCATTTTAATCTACTTTTATATAGCAGTTTTATCAACTGTACTGACTATGGCAACCATCTGACGATCTTGAAGCTTTGAGAAAGTGAAGGTGCAGGGAGAGGTGAATAAAGGGAGATAGAGGCTCTTCAATTCAGTTTTAATGATTTGATTCAATAAACTCACACAATGTTCCATCTATGTTCCAGGAGCTGCGGAGCTCGCTGAAGAATCCAAGTGGAACAAAACATGATCTCTGCTCTGAAAAGGACTGTTTGTATATAATGTTCATAGCAGAGAGCTTATAAAAACATAATTTCACTTCATATATACAGAGTTAATATGAGAAAGCTTTCCAAATTTATAGGGATCCAATAAAAAGAACTGATAAAAAAAAAATCCAGTATACCCAATATAAAAATCCTGACTGCATATGTTGCACTTTAAAAACTTAGTAGAAACCAGTGGATTTTTAAATGTTCTCATTAAATCACAGAGATGACAGATTTATATATTTAGTGAAGTCATGGAAAATCTGCCAGTAAAGTATGTAATTTCCAACCTAGTATGAAATGCTCTATTGGAAAGAAAAAAAAAAAAGAACTAAATGTCATAAGGATTAAAATTTAAAAGGAGTTTCTGTTAGATTTTGATTTCAATATCAAATAGCTTTCAAACCTAGTCCTTAGTCCTTAGCATTTTTATAAGAAGCATTCTTGAGAATACCATTAACTTAAGAGTCCTGTGTATCTTCTACAATGTTCTACTATCAACAGTATAGTAAACGACTGTCTTCAAGCTTCGTCTAATTGAAACATCTTTCATTTCTATTGGGAACTTTCTCAGTCATGCATAGTTTATTTGAAATCCAAAGGTTCACTTGGTTCTGCCAGACTAAAATCACATTATTAAAACTAGAATTTTATACTCACCCGATCCTCCTTTTGCCAAGTATTTGTTCTTTGCATAAAGGACAGAATCTAACATAGACTCAAAAAGAAGAAAATAGCCCTGTATAAAAAACATTAAAGAAAAGGATTTTAGAAATGCACAATCAATATCCTCATATGTAACATTTTAAATATCTGGGATACTCTTTTTATAAAAGGTATGTTTTGTTTGTTTGTTTGTTTGTTTTTACCTCTGCCATATACTTTTCTGGAAAGTTTGAAATTACTTTGTGTATTAAATTCTCCAAGTAATTATTAGAAAATCAGGCCAGGGTATAAAGTGGACCTAGAAAGTTTATTATGGTTGATGTACTGAACCTTCTTTATCTGTGCTTCCACTTTCTAGACTATTATTTCCTCCTCATTAAAAGGAGAGTCTGAAACAGAAATTGTTAAAATACCCTCTAACTCCTTGGAATACTGCAATATTAATAACCTAGACAGTGATTCTCAACTAAATTTAGCCCTCGCCCGCAGGACATCTGGCAATGTCTAGTGTCATTTTTGACTGTCACAACTTGGTGGGGCAGGGTAGCGGGGGAAGGTAGGGTGCTACTGGCATCTAATAGGTAAAGCCAAGAGACTGACAAACATGCTACAACATACACAGGAAGCCGCCCCTCCCCCCACAACAAACACTTGTCTAGCCCCAAATGTTGATAGGGTTAAAGTTAAGAAATCATGATCTAGAACACCATTTCCCAAAGGGCTTCCTGCCTAGTGACTTTTTCTTTTGTTAAATAAAAAAAAAAAAAGGAAGGGAGATAATCTTTATGAAACATAGATGCTTTAATAGTTCTGGAAAGTGGTATAGTAATGAAGATTGTTGAACACACCCTAACCATGCGTTACCCACTTTTTACTACAAACCTCTTTTTCTTTTTTCACATAGTACGTCTATCAACACCTTGCACAACTCCTGTTGTTCTATGTTCATGGAATACAGCTTTGGAGTACTCCAGATTTTAGAGACCAGTAATGAAATCCTCTGCTATGAAAGGATAATCACAGTATGGGTGAAAAGAAAATTTACCACTACTGGTATCATGAGTGAAGGATCAATGTCAGTTTGAGTCAGTCCTTCTTCTAGAGCCTATCCCGCAACTACTGGAGAAGCAGGGAGAGTCAAGTTCTCAGCACAGTGCTTAGCACATAAAATACTTTATTACTGCTTCGAGTGAAACAACATGAATTCTGCCCTAATGACAGCATTCTAAATCAAAACTGTTCTCACTTACTTATTTGTTCTGTGCACAAATAACTGACAGGAAAAATACAATATTCTTTAACCACATGAACAAAGACTTTTTAAAGGAGCCTCTAGAACAAGAAAAACCCGCACACCTGGGACAGATAATCTTCACAAGAGATTAATAACAGCACACTTAAATTTATAAAAAATACAGCTCTTAAGCCTGAATCATTTAAAAAAAAACCTAATTAAGTGGACATTAGCAACTCTACATTGATGTTTACCCACTTCCAGGAACACAACAATTCAGTGAGAAGAAAATACTTGCCTACAAAAGAAAGACTAAGCAACAAAGCTCTTTCATTAATGTGTTCACATTAAGAAAATTAAGGATTTGGTGAAAACTGTTCTTCTGGCTACAGTATTTCAGTAATATGTCTGACTCTTACAAGTTAGTTCCCTAATCATATCATCTGTGCACTCATTAATTCAAATGTATATTTTTGTGTTTATTTTAACTTCTGACTAAAATTAAAATGTAAGCTCCAAGAGGGGCAAGGACTTTATTTCTCTATTTTTTTAATGTTTTATTTTTGAGAGAGAGAGAGAGGCAGAGACAGAGCAAGTGGGGGAGGGGCAGAGAGAGAGAGGGAGACACAGAATCCGAAGCAGGCTCTAGGCGTCAGCACAGAGCCCAACACGGGGCTTGAACCCACAAACTGTGAGATCATGACCTGAGCCAAAGCTGGGCACTTAACCAACTGAGCCACCCAGGTGCCTCTATCTATACTGTATGAAGCTATATTCCTAAGGGCTACAAAATGTGGCTGGTAGAGAGCAGTAACTCAGTAAGAAATGTTTTGAATGAATAAAAGAATCAGAGTTACTAATAACATACATTGTTATATTTGTTAAAATGAAACAGTATCTGCTTTTTTTTATTTATCTGGCACAAAACAAAACTGGTTATTTTAAAATGCTGTTTTGCTTTCAAATTAAATTTCTCAAATAGCAATAGTAATAGTTACTGAATTTTACTGTATTAAGTGTCTTTATAAGGATTAACTTATTTAATTCTTTCTTAAAGCACATTTTCTGTTATTTCCATTTAACTGATATGGCTTACAATGTTGAGTAACTTAAAAAAAGTTCATAGTCACAGAAACAGCTGAATGAGCCAGAATCTGAACCTTGGTGTGTCTAACTACAGAGTCATGTTCTGTATAACTCTTCTATGTTGCATCTTAAATTGATTTACCTAGTTGAAAATAAGATTTAGTATTTATAAAGACTCAAATGTTTTGAAATGAAAAATTTCCCATAGAGCATATTAAACAAGATTAGAATTTATAATAGGTATATGATTTATAATATTTCAGAGTGATAACTTAGTTGGCAACTGGCTCTTAGCCACTGTCTATGAAAATTATGTTTGGAAAATCAATGCAAATATTAGAATATATGTAGACCCAATAAATGACATCTATGCGATAAATACATCTAGTTTAAAATATTAGCAGATAAAAAGATTCATGTATGTACTGCTAACTGTTGTCCTTTTTCTCAACTTTCCACTTTGCTAAACTTCATTTTACTATAGGCTCCCTACATGACAGAATAGCCTTTAATTTCGTGGGAACTGTCCTTGGTTCTGAACCAAGTCATTTATTACTGATATCAGAAGGCGCTGCTCCAAATGCCCAGCTCATCTGCAGTGTAATTCAGACTGTAATTTCACAGGCTGCTGCCTCACCTGTAGGGGTGCCATCTGGAAGAGAATTATACCCAGTATTTTCTCCCATGATGCTCATGGGGCACTCTTCTTTCCAAACTGACATTTACTTTTTAAAATTAAAATTTGCATTTACACTTCAAAAATTAATTACTACAATAGGAACACAAGATTAAATCTGGGACTAAGACATTAACATTATTCATTGAAATGGGAATCTTATTTTTAAAATTCCTGCTCATATCTTCTTGGGATAAATTAATGATAAAAGAGACTTGTGATACCTTCAGTCTAATGTCTTCTCTAATTTTTTTAAGTGCAAATTATGGATACATTCATACACAGAATTAACTATTCAAAAAAAGAGGCAGGAGAGATTACAAATAAAATGAAGAGTTAATATAGAAAGTCTAGTGACAAATACTCAATAACTGAATTTACCTAAAGATAAAGGATTACTTCTAACAAGTAAGTGAGGCTACTAAATCTAAACCCCAATTTTTAGTATATTTCTAAAGCATAATAAATATTTCATGACACCTTTTTACAATACTACTCTCAATTCTATAAAGTTTCTTGTAGATAGCGTTGCTATCCAATGTTATTGGGACTTAGTTTGTTGTACACTGAAAACAGTACATTTTAAGAAAAAATACAAATAAGTATAGTTTTGTTTACTAATACTCTTTGAGGGTAAATCTATCAATTAGAATTTTCACAATCTTCCTTGCATAAACCAACTTGTAATGGATTGTAAGTAATTCCCAGTTTTGGCTATTTTAAGATAGAAAAAATAATCTAAGGGTACTTGCCAAGTGGAGACTTGCTGAATACGGTGACTCCCACCTTCCCACTTAGTCTTTCATAACTGATTTACTCACTATTTTACTCAGCAGAAATCTGTTTTTAAATCTTGTTCACAAGTTTATACTAACTGATATAACTAATATTAACTGATATTACATAAAGCAGGGAAACAAGCACAATAAGCTCTTGGTAAACATGAAATACAACTAATAAGAGCAAAACAAGGGGCGCCTGGGTGGCTTAGTCGGTTAAGCGTCCGACTTTCGCTTAGGTCATGATCTCGCGGTTCGTGGGTTCGAGCCCCATGTTGGGCTCTGTGCTGACAGCTAGCTCAGAGCCTGGAGTCTGTTTCAGTCTGTGACTCCCTCTCTCTCTGACCCTCCCCTGCTCGCTCACTCTCTCTCTCTCTCTCCTAGAAATAAATAAAATATTAAAAAAAAATAAGAGCAAAACAAGAGCAGTAGAATAAAAGGCAATTTATCAGCTTTAAGGGTTCAGTTAGACATGGAATTTAGCAAGTTACACAAAAAAGAATAAAGAACATCATTAATTTGATGAATTAAACACAGGCTGGTTAAGGAAGCATCTATTGTACATTCATGTGACAAAATGTATTCTTAATGATGCCACCTTTTAAGGAAAATCTTCCCTTATGTCCCATACTAGGTCAGGTGGCCTTTATAATATAATATCATTTAGAGGTCGAATTATTATCAATGCATACAAATGAGAACTTTAAAGCAAGGTTTTTCAACCTTGGCATGTTGACATTTTGGGCCACATAACTTTACTGTAGCGGCAGTCCTGTCCATTGTATGACGTTCAGCAGTACCCCTTGCTTCTACCTACCAAAAACCAATGGCACTTCCCTCCTGTCTCTCACCCTCCCAAGCTTCCCGCTGTAAAAACCTAAGATGTTTCCAGACATTTCTCATTGCCAAACTATCTCCAGGTGGACAAAACTAGACACTCTCACCACTGCAAACTACTGTTCTAGAGACATCAAAAAAGTAATGAGGTAAGTATTTCCTCCTAATCTACAGTGCTCTCTGCTAAAAATGTACCAAACTTAAAAGGTTTTTTGTTCTTTATTACTGAGAGGGAATGAGAACAAGCAGGGGAGGGGCAGAGAGAGACAGAGATAGAGGATCTGAAGCAGGCTCTTCGTGGTAGCACAGAGCCCGATGCGGGGCTCAAACTCAAGAACCGAACCATGAGATTATGACCTGAGCCAAAGTTGGAAGCTTCACTGACTGAACCACCCAGGCGCCCCTCTCAAGTTTTTTACAGGATATGATATAACCTCTATTTATTTCACTGTTACATTCAT